TATCAGGTACTTCCTACCTTATTGTATATATTAACATTTCCTCGAGAAATGTTCAAGAAAACCGACTATACAGTGTATAGATATTTATCAATATTACAACAGAAAACTGCAGATATTGTGATAGACGTTTTTAATCTTTTTGCCCAGTCCTGATAAACTCAAACTAGTTCACGGTTGTGAATACATTTAAAAACAATATTTTGTCAATAAAGACATATTAAAAAGTACATCTCAAAAGAAATGCATAAGGAAGTTTTTATTTATACTTGGCGATGTTATCAAGAGAAGCTTATAGGGCTGTCCCGAGCCCGTCCTCCACAGATAAGCGACCATATATGTCGTTTAAGCGTTTATTCGCTTATCACGTTGTGTGTATAGCACAGTGTATAAAAAAGAGAATGCTAACAGTAGGGTTTTTTTGTACTTACATCTTAAAGCCTCTGGGGAATTTTAATAGTGCTATGGCTGATAAAACCCTGCAGTAGGAGTACCAGTCAAAGTGTTTTGCACATTTTTGTCATTAAGATCCTCTAATAAGTAACACTCCAGGGGCTGAAGTTCTCATCACACATCCTTTAATTAGAAGAAAGAAAATGAAATTGGTGCTCCTTGAGAGAGTAGTGTGACCGACTGAAGAGACAGGTGTTTTCCCATGAGGTCTGTCTGCTTTCTCATTTGTCTGTCTGCGCCCCCCACACCCTCCCTCACTACTCTGTCACTGACAATTAGCACAGGGCCATGACTTCATCTGCTAATGTTACGAGAGAAGCAGACTGTAGCGCATGCAATATGGATGGAAGCCTTCTGCCTGTCTGTGTCTGTCAGAATGTTCTTACAAGAGCCCGACCGATATGAGATTTTTAAGTCCGATACCGATTTCGATATTTGAGGATTTTAAAATCCGATAGCCGATATATCGGCATGTATTTTTTTCCCCCTTACTTTAAGAAACGCAGAACATAAACTAACATTATCCCTAACCTTTGTTATGTTGACACCTCACCAAGATACCACAACATAATGCAGTTTAAAAATAAACTGGTATTGTTAGAAATAGTACGTTGAACAAAAAAGTACAACAAAATATATTAAAGTTTTGATAAATACTACTACTAATAATAAACATTAAATAGTGTATGTATTGTGGGGGCCAGCAAAACAGAAACTATAAAAAAGAACCGATACAGTACTACTACTAAAAATAATAATACCATATATCATCTCTCATGGGATAGAAAATAATTATATATATATTTTGTGTCATGCAGTAGTTATTACCTTACATATAATCTGCCACAATGACTACTTTCTACATCTAGTTTATAACCTTCACTCTGTTAATCCTATCCAATGCTACAGAAACGATTTCCTAACAACCCTCTGGCTCTATGATACAGTGAGGCAGTGGCCAGCTGCTGTTCCACTTGCTTCTAGTAGGGCTGGGCAATATGGCCAAAAAGTCATATCCCGGTACTGTTAAGCAGAATTCCGGCAAAAAATATATTTTGGTATTTTCTGCTAAGCGGGCTGGGGAAGCGGGGGGGGGGCAGTTTTAGCGGGCATGTTTTTACTATTTTTAGTAACTTAGCTTGTTTCTTATTTCACCGTTTTAATTATACTTCATTCTCCATCTTAAGTATCACTCACTTATTGAATTTGCCTCCTTCAGTTCTTTTCACACTCACAGATCTGACGTACCTCTGCTGCAAAGACGCCATTACTAGTACCAGCTCAACTCGCCTCGACTTGACTCGGTTTGGCCATTTTCCATTGCATAGTACCCAGAGATGGCACCCGTCAATGTAGCTGGTCGTCATAGTGATGCCACACACAACTGCTGCGACGTAATGTTCAATGCGACACACACACCAGCAACCCACAAACAGCTGTCTCTTGATTTAAGTGAAAACGTTTCAACATTACTCAATATGTAAAGACAGATAAGATGGAGGTGATATGAAAACCTGGCAGTGGTAGCAGGTACAAGTACAACTTTTACACAATGGAAAACCAAATAAAGGCGAGGCGAGTTGAGCTGGTACCGTGCCATCTCTCTCTCCTTGTATGTCCGCTGCGGTGACTTTCTCCATCAGTAGTAGGCTAAGCTGTATAAAGTCACTGAAAAAACTTTTCCTCCGTCATTCCGTTCACAGCAGCAGCTGAGCTGCATGTTGAGGAGGCGTGTTGACGATGTAGCCTATCATAACAAAACCAACTTGGTAGCTACCGAACGACATCTGACTGGTGTGTTCACTGTTGCTTTACCTGGTCCGCGCTTGTAAAATATCCACACTGTCGCGACTTGTAACGTAATCACTGTGTTTCTTCGATAAATGCTACAATGACTCGCATAACCTTTTGGCTTTTTCCCTTTTGGCTTTTCTACTTTATTGAGTAATGTATCTTTTTGTGCATGTAATAGCTTTGCAAAGTGAAAAAGCCCAAAGTCCAGCCCAAATGGAAGAAAACTCTGCTCTGAAATGTCTGAAAACAGCTCGTTTGTAGTCCAGCCTATCCTTCCACTTTCTTGTGATGTAACAAGAAAATATGTGTCATAATGCTCGCCGAGCTACTAGTCTGACTCGCCCTCAAAACACTGAAAAACACTGAGCTGGAGCACACACCTCTCCTCTCACTTCCAAACACCATCTACCCTCCAAGCAGTCAGTGGACATGAAGTTGTTACTGTGATGTAGAGACAGAGCTCAGTTAAAACTTTATGGATGAAAGACACTTTTGTTACAGATTAATAACTCACCACTCTGAAACTCTTGCTCCAGTCCATATTGCCAACCTGGTCGGCAACATGTAGCCTACAGCTGAATCGAAGCTTTCTCTGCTTCTGATTGGCTAGTAGTCCTTAACTAGGAACTGCGCATGTGCAACAAGATTTAGCATATTAAAGCTCATTGTTTTGGTTTTACAGCTCACAATTTTACTGTTACGATTCAGTCACTGCTCTCATCAACCTGGTTTGCGTACGCAGAAGGCAGCTGTTTCCACCAAATAAGCTCTGATAAGCTCTATGTACACTCCCTGCCCAGCACCAAATCGGCAGACACTAGCTGTTGAACATAGTGGAGCATTTAGCCACTAAAAAGATGGAGACCAAAAACTGGAGCTGGCAGCCCAATTACGGCTATATTTACAGTTTGTGGCGCTGCCCTCAAGTGGAAAACAAATTACTAAATGCAGGTTTAAGTAATTTGCATTATTATAATGTCAATTGGACAATGCAGGGAAAAAGCAAAATGTAAATGGTGGAACAACATTAGGGCTGCAACAAATGACTATTTTGCTAGTTGATTAATCTGTGGATTATGAAACGAATAATTGACTATTCGGATTATGAATCGCAAAACGACACAATGCCTCTCATTTAGCTATTAGCCTTTAAATTAAACCTGAGGTTGTTTTAGGCATGTGCTAATTAACAGTCAAGACAATAAAATAAATACTGCTTTCAAAAATGCATCTTTTAATGAACATTTCTGCTGCAGCAACAGAAAGTTCCACTGAAATCACGTCCTGATAAGCAACTGATCTCCTGTTTAGTGACGGATCAGCTTTTGCGCCAGTACTAAAACACTCCAGGACAAACTGACACTGTATACAAAGAAAGGAATAACGTCACGCATTACATTAGCCGTATTTAAACATTTATATAGTTTCCCCTAACTCAACAACTCAAAAAACTCCACAGACAGGAGAACTGTTTTCTCTTCTTAGTATGAAATTGTCCGGTGTTGCCTAATCTTGCGCACTCGGCAGCAACACGTTCTCCAGCTGGGAACGTTGCCATGAGCGATGCATCGTTTATGATTGTAAAGTCAGGGCTAATCTGGAATGTGAACGCGGCCATTGTGTATCATAATTATGTGCTACTCACAGCATCATTACTGTAACAATCAATCAAACTGACCAACTGTATAGAAAACGATTCAGATCATAACGTGAAGTAACACACCTTAAACGTGAAGCTAGCTCGCTAACTAGATTACCGAGACGAGTCTTCATCATCCACAAACAAGACAAAATGTTTCGCGCCTCCTCTTCAGATGCTCCGGTGTTTCCAGCAGAGCTCAGCTTTGCTGCAGTTCACGACCTTTCTGGCTGAGTAAAGAGTGAAATGCTGCCACACTCTGGAGGATTTAGTTTGTGAAGGTGCTACTGCAGCGCTGATGTTGATTTAGTAACATTACTGTTCACATCACTTTACTCTGTTAAGCTGACTTTGTCACTATGGCCGATGACGTCATGAATGAATCAATTATTAAATTTTGTTGGCAAAGAATTTAATAATCAATTTTTGTCGACTATGTCGATTAGTTGTTGCACCCCTAAATAACACTGAGCTAGTGGAGGGCCCTGTGATGCCTTTTTGAATTCCTGGTTTCATTCCTTTTAATGTAACAAAGTCCAAGTGCCCTCCATCTCGGCAAGTGAAGGAGCTGAGGCCATGCAATCTAAATTAATTAGATTCTATTTGTGGCCACATTGCTTCGCCTCTACAGCAATTCTGTTCCATTCATTCTGCCTGCCTGTGTGTGTTGGTGTGACTGATGGAATGGCTAAGGGAAATAAAGCAGGGAGAAGAGGAAGAAAAAGACAGCACATCTATATGTGTGCAAATTGATTTTCAATACCACTGACAGTGTTCATGTGTCCGGGAGCGTTGCCCAAAGAGCATTAGACTCTTCAGCTGTAACGGACCTCCCGCCGCAGCTGCACCCTCACAAGCCAACCGATCAAGCATTTAAAAATACTTAAAAATGAATAAACAGATAGAAATACAATCGTTTCACCTCTGGTTGTTGAGGAAGGATAAAGTTGAAATTTTTGTGGTTGTGTCCTTCTTATTACCATTAGCCATGCTGAATAGATTTTAGTTTTTTAATGGATGAGAGGTAAAGATGAGAACAGAGAAATAAGTCAAGGATTTTAAATGTTAAACTTGGGAACAAAGAAGGATTCATGAAGCTGCAATAATTTGGTGTAAACATTTATTTAACTGTGACAGACGAACCAGAAGATTCCATAAGATTGACACTGTACAACTATAGCAACCAATAACAGTAACACCTTTTCAGATAGGAGAACAAATTAGTCATGAACATCTGCAGCCAGGTCACCAGGTCAATACCAGGCGTCTTACTTATTAATAAGTCTATCTGGTGGAATCTTAATCCAGTCTACTCAGCACTCTTCCGCCCAGCGATGTGTAAAAAAACTGGACGACACGAGCCTCTGAGGTTATTCGATGTTTTCAGATTCTATTGACTGTTTATGTTGACATAGTGAGGACACTGAAAATGAGGTGTGAAAGAGAATTGATCTTAATCTGGTAATAAGATAGAGAGGGATAAACGGAGGACAGGAGCTATTGTCCCCATCCGCTTGAAACAATGTTTTCCAATTTGACCCCTAATATGTCCTGAAAAGTGACTCATGGTGAAAGCAGAGGACTGTGTGAGTGAAATACAGAATGATTTGAAATTACTCTTTTTTTTTAAGCACAGTCATGCTTGTAGCCTGTAGTAGTACAATTAATCCTGCTAATTAAATTGAAACAAGAAAATAAATGTGGTTATTTAAAAGGAAATAATAGTAATATAAAAAGGCATCTTTTAGGATTATAATGGATAAATGATGCTTACTAAGTTAATATACTTAATTTCCCACAATGAAGACAAAGTGCAATGTGCAGAAATCAGCACTGCATTTATTCAAGACCTTTCAAATAAACACATTAGCATTTGTGATGGTGCCTACAGTGTATTGATAGAAAACCTTTACTGGGATTAGTCACATAATTTATTGCCTGTTAAAACATGCAGAATCAATGACAGCAAGGTGCAGTAAAGGGTTGGTACAGAGTGAGTATTCGTGGCATCTGGTAACCTTTGCTGCCCTCTAGGCCAAAGGGATTGTCAACACATGCAGTACATTGTATTTACTGTACCCCATCTGCATGCGGGTCACAGTTAAGCAACCGGGATCCCAGCTTACAATTGGATTTATGCTGTTTGAGAATATTTTTACTCAGTGTCCTACCATAAACCATAACTGAGAAAATCACAAAATTGAAACCAGTTTAGGTTTCCCTCATCAAAGAAGCCCATTGAATATTAAGCCAATTTATTTTAACAACTGAAACTTTATTTTGAAAAACGTTTGAAGGCTGAGATGGCCTGCTGGTTAAAAATGCTGTTGAACCCGAAAACAAGAGTTTAAAAAAGCATCCATATCCCTGACATTCAATGTCAACAATCAATGACAGCTCCATAAATGTCACCACGCTTGTGCATCATGAACATGTAGTGGGTGTTTGAGTACGCTCCCTACTTGTCCCTACTTGGACTGTACTTTTTAAAGTGAAACCTATCTCTACATCTCCCTGTCGTCCTGGGTCTCCAAGGTGGGTACATGGAGTAATGTGGGCTCGGTCTTGTCTGCAACATCCCCCAGCTTCTTCTTACCGATTTGACACTTACTCAGGCAGTCGTCACACAGGATGCTCTCCTTAACCAGGTAAAGCCTCTCTGCTATCATGAGTGACTCAAGGCCGAGGTCCTGCTCAGTGAGGATGGGGTTCCTGTCCAGGTTGACCCGCTCCAGGTTGTTCAGCCTCACGAGGCATCCAGGGAAGCGAGTGAACCGGTTGTCAGAGAGGCCGATGTGGCGGAGCTCCTTCAATGTACCAATGGAGGTGGGGAGAGCGTCCAGCTGGTTGAGACCCAGGTTGAGCGTGTGCAGTTTCTTCAGTAGGCCGAGCTCAGCAGGGAGGCTGGTCAGCTGGTTGTTACACAGGTTCAAAACCTGCAGATTCTGGAGACGGCCGATAGTCACAGGGAGCTCCTCCAGCTGCAACAAAAACATTAACACGTTCTGTAGTAGTGTGATTCCACACAGTTTACTAATCAAAATACTGTTATATATCTTCTCTTCTTGTTCTCATGAGCCCAATATCTCAAACCAGCTGCATCGTCACATCGTCAAAAAAAAAACAAATACAGATAAAGCTGTATAAAAAGGAGTTTTTATCACTTTTTTTGCTTGCTAAATTACATGTCAAATGTAACCTTAACACAGACACAGTCACAAACAAAGCTCGATTACCAACTGGGCACCAGACCCTCAGGGGCCTCCATTTGCATCGAGATTTCTTAATTTGATAAATTGCACATTTGTTCTTTTATTGTGTAACTTAGAGCACAACAAGCATGGTATGAACAGAAATCAAAGGGGCCTTTAAAATGACACCAGCATTATTAGATATTTCTGTGGCCATGAGTTAAAATCAAATTTTAGATTGCAAATATTTCTAATAAAATATATGTCCACTACCTGATCACTAACTAATGCACACACCCCTATAGGTGGTTAATCCAGCCCTGCATAAAACATACAGTGGCACACAAACACTAAATATACAAATATGTGACTGTAGAGAGACACATTGTGTGGTTCACCTCCAAAACCACTGGAATTTACACTTCCCATAATGCAAATTAAAACCTTCCTTACATGGTAAACACAATCTCAGTGGTGAGTGCAAGGATTGGTGCAATGCTCCTTTACTTAAAATCCTGACAGCTGGCTTTTATGTACTTCATTTGTGAGCTGAAGTAAAAAAAACAAAAAGACAATTGAGTTTCAGTTGGCATGTATGTGAATTTGTGTTTTTCAGTTAAATAAACCAGAGACGCTTTGTTGAAGCATCTATTCCTTAACTTTCTGTCCTACTCACATAGTTGCTGTGCAGATCTAGGAAACTGATGTTGATGAAATGGTCAATAAAGTCCGGGAGCTTTTTGATCAGGTTCCTGCTCAGGTCTAGTTCATCCATGTCATACAGCTTCTGGATACACTTTGGCACTGTGGCGATCTCCTTGAAACTGAGATCCAGACGCTTCCGCTTACCGTCCAGGGACACCTCCACGCAGTTCTGAGCCATTTTCAAGGTGAATGTCTTACTTTTAGCCCGTCCGGTTTTCTTTCCCTTGGCCATTCTGCTGCAAGGAGACGCAGGAGCGTGGCGGTTGCTGTAGTTAACAGTACTCAGTAATGCGCTGTGACACAGGAGTTGACAGTGGAACTGGCCTGCGAGATTATCTTACCCAACACAGTCCAGCCAGCTGAAACAGTAGATAGTAGATCTCCTTAGATAAAAGACCTGTAACATTATCACCCATTGCTCCATGACAAAGCAAATTAACTAACATTTGCACTGGCTTTATTCTAGTATATTTACAACGTGTAATCACTGAACAAATGTCAGATTGTGTTTGTTCAGAAGATTGACTGCATTGACTGGCACTAAATAACTGTGGGATTTTGACTGCATCAGAACAAAAGTAAAGGAGAAGAGGAAGTGCTTAAAACAGATTTATGATCATTAGTAGTGCAAGATAAGCGATTAACAAGAAGACACTAAGAGACATGACAAGGCGATCAACAGGAGGTACCTGAGTACATTTTAAATTTCACATTTAGAATCTTTGATTTCTTACCAGCATTAGCGAGTCCACTTCCTTGGATCCGGCACACTGACTACCAGGAAAGAGACAAAAGGGACTCCAGACACGTCACTTGAGTGTCTCTTTCTCCAGCCTGAGAATTACACTCTACATCAAGATGCCATTGAAGAGAGTTGTAAATAAAAACTGGTCAGATTGTTGTAGTTGTGGCTGTCTGTCAGGTGGTTTGCAGCTCCACCGTGGACTCACTTGGCCACACATTGTTTTCCTTTGTTCCCAGGCAACTGCTTTGGTCTCAGCAGACTTTATGGCTGCGAGCAGCTACAGCAGGACAGTTTGTTCTCATGGTGTCTGTAGTTGGAAGACAGTTTTAAAAAATGACGGTAACTGTTTCTAGGATTGTTCTGTTTTCAAATAACAATCACACACGATTGTATAAGGAAGTGAATGCCTTTAGGGTTGCCATGTCTCCAAAAAAATAAAAAATAAAATAAAAGCAGTGAGACTGAAATGCTGATCACAAATAGGTTATTTTGATGAGCACCAGTGGAAAGTATCAGAGGAAAAAATCCAACATGGTCCAAAAGAGCAAAATTATGCAGTGGATTTTGTATCCTGGTTATTTATTTTTTACTGCTTCCAAACGGCATGGCAAAACATTAACTATTACAGTTCTACTCTAAGAATAGTTTTCAAATCTCCAGACATATTGTCTTTCAAAGACCTAACTGAAAACTATAAGAAATATTGCAGTTTACATTTTACAGTATTAGTAAAAAAAAAAAATTTCCAAACAAAGACATTTATGTAGCAATCTTTTATGTAAAAATGTAAATTGGGAGTCTTTGCTATTGGCCTATAAATTCTGCCTATCATAAGGCAAAGTCTTACTATTATAACAACAACAAAAAAAAGGCCATTCCTTGTTTTATGTCTCAAAATGAAGCAATAGAATTAAGCAATGGATATTTTAACCTATTATAATTGGTCCAAAAATGTCCCTCATGCTCACTCATTTCTGAATGCTTGTTTATGATGGAAAAATATATTTTTTTAAATACTAAACATTTACAATTTGTAAACAATTAAAAAAAATGTCATGTCCAGAAATTTGGTTTGCTTACAAATGAAATGCACATGGAAAAAATATATACAGTAAATAGAAATATTACAGAGTACAGTATACTGAGCTGCTTAACTGTGCTGTGTTGTTAAATAGTTTCCTGTCTGACCCTTTCCCCAAGCTATGATACCATACATCAGTTACACAGCTGCGTTGAGCTCTCTCTCTCTCACACACACACACACACAGACTTCTGTCAGCTGTAAGTATAATGTATCACATACTGTAGTCGCATCTTAGATGTTACTCAGCTGTGACCTGTCTAAATTTAGTCTGGTTGGTGCACTTCATATGATGCACTTTCACTTGACGTCAATGCCACACAGTACATCCTACATGCCAGTAGGGGGTGCTGTCTTTGTACAAATTCACACAGTATCAGGACGTGTAGACATCCATGCTGCCGGGTGAAACATCTCTGCCATTAGATTTCATTCTGTTGTTTGGGAAAATTAGAAATCTGTTCAGCTGTAACGGACCTTCCGCTGCAGCTGCATGCTAGCAAGCCAACCAATGAGCAAGCATTTAAAAATACTTCAAAATGAATAAACAGATAGAAATACAATCATAGAGAAATTATAAATAAGCAGATGAATTTTGATGTTTGCGATATAAAACAGCGCTGGAAGTCATGTAACCAGGCCCTATTCAAGGTCTGATAAAGGGACCAAGTGTCTCCAGATGTACCAGGAAGGCATCCAGTCCATGATATCCGGATAAACAGACACAGACAGGCAAACAAAGACAAAGACAAAGATCTAAAATAGGTTCCTGAGATAGCATAACTAGGTTAGTTAACTTACATATAGGTGTATGTGCAAACAAATGTGGATTTTTCTGCAATAAGACCATTGTCACCACTAACTGTACCTCCAAAATATCCATAATGGACAATCAGAGAACAGAAAGCGAGAGGCAGAATCTGCGTTGTGTTTTAAAGGTTTGACATGTCACAGAGTAGGAAAAGATAAGGATGAAATGCCAAAATAATAAAATGATTTACACCAGCTGGGTGTTCATGTTTAAAGATGTGAGAGGAAAACTTGCACGTCACAGGTCTTATTGTTCTGGTTGTGCTGCAAATGGAGCCTGCATAAAACCAGGTCAGCCCACTGTGTGTGTTTTTGTTGTTTAAGCTATAGAATAGCATCACTAGTGCTGACGCCGAGTTCCTTGGAAGCTCTGCAAGGCACCAAGATTGCTTAGATGGCATATTCTTAAAGTTAAAGCAGCGCAGTACCTGATTAATTGTGAATCCTAACCATGTTTCTTATCATCAGAATTTTTGTCTAAGATATTATTTTGACCTGGTTAGTATTTTTATGTCTGCATGCACCAACCAGGTCAGAGCAAAAGCAGCCATATTGTAGAGTGCAGAAAAGTAGCATACTCTAAGCCTGAGTCATTTCCCTCAAAGTGTGAAACACAGGTCAGGATATATGCAGGTCACACCAGAGGAAGTGGCGCTGACCTAATTGGTTGAGGTAGTGTTCAGATATAGCCTGACAAACATTTTAATCACGTGTGCACTAGCAGGCCACACACAAGTCAGGTTAAATTTTGTTCCCTTTTTTGTCTGAGTTTGATTTTTATTAGTCAGACTATATGAACTAAGAATGTTTGCTCTATTAACAGAGGGGTCAGAGATGTTGATTACATTCAGCTTTATTACAGATAGTTTTCATGTATACAACTATGGTAGTCTACAATATGAATGTATTCTTTAAGCATCATAAAGTGATGTGAATCTGGAACAAGCTTGTTGTAAGCCCCCCAAAATGGTAAGCTAATGACAGAATTAAACATCAAACAGCGACAGAAATAGCAGCAGCTAATCAGGAAATATAGAAATAATAATAAAGACAGACCCAGCATGTCATCTATGAACATATTTGTTATTGCTAATTTATACTGTACAGAGTCATAATTTACGGTGGCTCCGAAAGCTCACAAGAGGATTGTTTTTTGAGGACTACTTTTGCAGTACCTTGCCATACTTTTGCGTTACATCGCAAAAGTAAAAGTAAAAGTGCCTTTTTCTTGCGCACAGCTGGCACTTCTCAGAAGACCCTCCCCATACTCTGTCTTGCTGACCTAGCTGGGCAGTGGATCTCTTGGTCTGTCTGTCTTGCTTGCCAGCCACTTCCAGCACTGTGAGTGTGAAATACAGCTGTTGTTTTTATAAACATGTGTTCTATATGTGTGTGCACCAAATGAAACTCAGCTTTCCAGCAGCAACCTCTGTGGTAACCAGTCAAGATACTCATTTTTAGTAAGGATGGACTGATATTGATTATTGATTAGTTCAAGATCGTTTATTGTCATTCATCCACATACCAAGTAATGAACAAAATGCTCACGGTCCAATGTGCTAAAAACAAAGACACAATAGCCTAATTCAAATTACAAACAAGACACAAAACAAAAATTAGACATGCTGGCCAGCCAAAAGAAAGAATTGTTTAATATGCAGCCCCTATCTGACGTATGTTCACCTCATAGCCTATGTATAGCCTATTTAAATAATAGCAGCATCAGAAGTAGGGTACTTAACATTAGCGAAGGCCTGATGGCTACTTAAATAATAAGCTTCTGAAATATAAGCCAGTAGGAAATGCTCGGTTCAAAGTAAAATTAAATAAGCTGATCCGTACTGGAGTGTTGCACTGAGAGCAGCTATGGCTCAGAATTAACGGAAGAAGGAAAGTATTGTGAGGGAACGCAATCCATAGTACATTTTGAGGTAGTCCTCAAAAAAGAATCCTCTTGTGAGCTTTCAGAGCCACCATAATAATTACTCTCCCTAAGGTTTCCTGCCCAAAAGTTGGGCATGTTTTACCCACAGTAAACACTTTCCTAATGAGTTTATGGTCTCAGTCGTTAGTTTCAAATCTTCTTCATTACAGCATGTTGTTCATTTGCGAAACAATGGTCCCATTTAGAGGAAAATAGATGACAAAGCAGGATATGCTTTAAGGCGGGACTACCTTGTGATTGACAAGTCACTACCATGGCGACCTGTCAATCAGGCTAGAGCTAGAGGTGAATCGTATCCACTGTGCTATGTAAAGTTAACCAGCGCTGTTGAAAAAGCTTATTAAGCGTCGGCTGTTCATTTTTTACAGTACATTTTGTTTTACGCCTGTTTTTTGTTTATTAAATGAGCATTCTGGTTAAAATTGAATTACTGATGCACCTTGCACTTGACACTACTGTCAGAATATTCCGAAAAAGGTAAATATTTTAGAGTAAACAGCTTTTTAATGTGTTGTTTTAAACGCTATGGATGGATTTAACACATCACTTTGTAAATGATACTGTGATTGGTGATATTACTGTTTTTTGGTAAAATCTATTTTCACTGCATACTACTGGCAAAAACAAATAATTTGATTATGTGGAAAATTGTGGATGTCAGCTGTGTAGAAGTCCAATCTGGCCTCATTCCCAGGTCATCAAATACCTGCATTTTGTCACACCCCTCGACATCTCATACAGACTTTCACCCAGAAGACTGGGGTTAGGGTCCTGTGTGAAACCATTGACCTTATTTAAGGGTTCAGTTAGGTTTTAGTGGTATCTAATGGTGTGCATAGTAAATTGCAACCTGATTGCAACCAAAGGCTTTCTCACTGTTCACCCCTCCCTTTCCAAGCGCAGAGGAGAAGCTATGGTGGGTGACAGGCTCTGTCGGCTCTTGTGACAGATAATATGTGTGGTCCTTCATTTGTCCAAATTTCACTTCTTTTCTTACTTCTAACAAACCATACAACCACTGATACTACTACTTCTTCTTCTTCTTCTTCTAGTCCTTCTTCTTCTTGTGCCTAGTCTTCTTCTTCAACGTAGTTTTGAAACGTGCTCCAAAAAGCAGTGTGTCCGTTTGGGCTACTGTAGAAACATGGCAGCGCAACATGGCGACTTCACTGTAAGGGTGTATGTAGATAGAAATGGCTCATTCTAAGGTAATAAAAACGGTTCATTATGTAAGGTCTTCATACACAGCTGAAACAGAGTTATGTATGATATATTGCGTTTCTGTCAATAGATCCTCCTAAATATTACACACTGAACCTTTAAAGTTATGTATGTGATGTGTAAGTCACTACTATTTATTGCAACTCAAACAATGATTCTTTCCTAAATCTAACCAAGTAGTTTTGGTGCCTAAATCTAACCAAACTGGACCGTTTCACAACGTTAACAACGTGTTAAGGCTAAATGGTTGTGCGACGTGGGGAGCGCCCAGGTGTCAACACATGTAACTACTGTATATGAATTGTGTGAATTGCAAAAGAAGATGATGTATTTCACACTATGTCAACATTTACAGGATACAGACAGTTTGAAAAGGAACACATAAATGGTGCCA